CCTCCAAGAGTGCTAGGATTACAGGCATGAGCCACTGTGCCCAGCCAGGAAAAACTATTTAAAATTTTGTTTTATATTTATGTATGAAAATTAGGCTGTAGGATACAATGGACTTTAAATGAGAACTAAGTGTTATTCTGAGAGTAGAGAACGTGAAATTGAGGTCACAAAAATGTGACATATGGTTGGGCATCTTTTAAGTTCTACTTAAACTATAATTCTTACTCCCTCTTTGGAAATCGGTGGTCCAGAAAGGGAAAAGTATTTGAGAATACTTAATATGGGTTATCTTAATATTAGTGGAATCAGATATCATATATCACGACCTATCTTCTCTGGTGACCAAATATAATCTTCCCATCACTAATGTTGTGCTATTTTTCTAATTTTTTCTTTTGAATGGTTTCCTTTAATATCTCTCTCTTTTTTTTTTAAGAAGTGGGTGTGTAGGGGAGTTGGTTTACAACTTATAATTAGGATAGTTATTTTAATTAACTGAACTGCAAAGATAAATGACCAAGTCCACTGTAATGGTAAATGAACCCTGAAGCTACCAGAAGCTAGGAGAGGGGCCCGGATTCTCCCACAGCCCTCAGAAATAATAAACCCTGTTGACATTTTGATCTGGGACTTCTAGCCTTCAGAACTGTGAGATAAAACATTTCTGTTGTTTAAGTCACACAGTTTGTGGTACTTTCTTACAGCAGCCCTGGCAAACTCACACACAGCAGAAATGGTGGAAAGGGGTAGAATTATGAATGTACAGTTGGTCTTCATTACTCATGGATTCCATATTTTTGAATTCACCTACTTACTAAAATGTATTCATAACCTCAAAGTCAATACTCACAGTACTTTCACAGACAGTTGCAGACATGCTCAGAGTAGTGGAAAATCTGAGACTCCTGACATACCTGTTCCCAGCTGAGGTTGAACAAGGCCATGTGCTGCCTGCTTGTTTCAGCTCTCATACTACAAACAAGTACCCTTTTCACAATATATTTAGTGCCATACTTTTCACATGTTTGTACTCTTTGTTGGTAATTTTGCTGTTTAAAACAGTGCTGACGGCCGGGCGCGGTGGCTCACGCCTGTAATCCCAACACTCTGGGAGGCCGAGGTGGGCGGATTGTTTGAGCTCAGGAATTCAAAACCAGCCTGAGCAAGAGCAAGACCCCGTCTCTACTAAAAATAGAAAGAAATTAATTGGACAACTAAAAATATATAGAAAAAATTAGCCGGGCA